GTGAGAGGTTCCAGACTATATAATATACTCATAAATTAGACAATCAAAATATTTTTTAGCAGAGTGGGTACCCAAAGGGGGCACAGTCCATGAACTCAAGGAATAAAACAAAACAGATGCATGTAAGCCTAAGAGCCTGGCCTTTCTCTACCTGTCGCACTCCTAGTCATTCTTCCTGGTCAGCTCAAACTTGACCTCTTCTCTTACCCTAACTCTATCCATTCCACTAGGCAGACTTACTTGCCTCTGGCTTCTCATAGCTCATTGCCAGGATCTTCCAGATATCATTTACTCTGGCAGATGGAACTTTTTGTTGCATGGGGCAGACAGAATTCTACAATGTCCCCTAATGAGCCCCTTATATGATTCCCTCCCATTGTGTGTGAGCAGGACCTGTGAGTGTGAGGAGATATTACTCCCATGACTACGTAACACAATATGGCAAAAGAGATTTTATAGATGTCCAAATGGTTTAACCTTAAAATGGTATGATTACCCTTTCTTTGGCTGGACTGACTTATCTGATCAGGTCAACTTTGCAAAGAGAGGAGGCTCTTCAAAAGACACAAAGTGTGAGAGGGATTTGAGGCAAGGGAGGTTGCTAGCCTGGTGATGGAGGGGGCCGCGTGACAAGGAATGCAAGCAGTCTTTAGGATCTGAGACCAGCCCCTGGCTGAAGGCCTATAAGGAACTTCAGTCGTGTAACCTCAAGGAAATGAATTCTGTCACAAGCACACGAGCTTGGAGTAAGATCCCAGCTCCAGATGAGAATGCAACCCACATGAGCCCATGATTTTAGCCCAGAGAACCCATCTGTGCTGTACTGAGACTTCTGACCAGCAGTACTGTAGGCTAATAAGAGGGTACTGTTCCAAGCTGCTAAATTTGTGATCTGTTATATAGCAATTGAAACTGATACATTATACATCTGTCCTCTCCACTGAACTGTGATCTCTCGGAAGGCAGGGCCCATGTCTTAATTATTAATATAGGCCCCTCTGAGCAAAGTGTCTGACTTGGAGCAGTGGTATAATAAATGTTTACAGAACAAAATTATAAATTAATCATAAGTGTTGCATTCTGCAGCACTGTAGAGGCAATTAGAAACAAGGATGCATTGCACTGAATTTATTTCAGTAAGTGTCTTTCAAATGCCCACTAGGTGCTTAGCACCATACCAAAGTCAAGTTCCTCTCAGGTATCATCCCTGATTCCTTTGGTCTTCCAAGGAGCCTTATTATATAATACTGGGTTTTGAAACATTACTGATGCAGACATAATTAATCATGGTTATCATAACAGTAGAGGTAAGAACTGATGGGGAGATGAAACTAAGAGGTAGGAAAAGTTTCAAGACTTATTTTGAGGAATAGCTTTATTACGCTGCCCTGAAAGAACTTCTGATTAATGCCATTCTTGATTATAACTCAGGGCACTGCATTTATCTCTGAGTTTCAGTTTTCCTAATAAAGAAGTAGATTATACCATGTCCATTCCCAGCCATGAGATTCTATGTAATCTATGAATTTTGTGTGTTCTTTCCATCCATGCTCACTCTCTGGGTATCGAGACATCCACATTGTGACTTGTAGGCTCAAGAAATGGCCAGGCCACAACCATCTACAGATTAACTGCATCATTTTCTGCCCATGGGTCAAAAGGTGCATCTCAGAAGCCTCAAGAAACAAGAAGAAAATGGGCTCGTCTTCTTAAAAATCTCCCAACATCTTAGCCTAAATGTTAAAAAACAAAACAAAACAAAACAAAAAAACCCAGCAAATAGCTTTTTTACTCTGAAAAAGTTGAGGCATTATAGTGTAACTGGAAGAATTCCAGTCTGAAAGTCTTGACATTTGACTATCTGGGCAGCAACAGAGCATGCACTCAAAATGAGAAGACAATGACATGATGCTTCAACTATGCTTTAAAGTCCCCCCTGCCACCCACTGTGGCGGGGTGGGGACAGGGGAGCTTGCATGATGTAAGAAAGAGCATCTCAAGTGTGGATGAAGATGCTAAAAGTGAGCAATAACCAGAAGCTTCCCGTTGGCCAGCCTCTTTTAACCCAGAAAGATAAATAAAATACATTGGTAATTTTGGTCCCCTCTGCAAATGGAAAAATCCTCAGAGAAAGGGACTTTTTATTCATTTAGCAACCAATTATATGTTAGGTACTGCTCTATATGATAAGAATACAGCTGTGAAGCTGCCTATGGAGCCCACAACTTTAAGTATATTAATAGTGGTCCCCGTGGCCAGGGAATTCAGTTCTACAAATGTCCACTATGTGCCAAGCATGGAGTGTAGAGGTGGCTGCTGCTGTGTTTTTTTTTTTTTTTTTGTTGTTGTTGTTTTGTTTTTTTTTAAAGATTTTATTTATTTATTCATGAGAGACAGAGAGAGAGAGAGAGAGAGAGGCAGAGGGAGAAGCAGGCTCCCAAGGAACAGGGAGCCCGATGCGGGACTCGATCCCAGAACCCTGGGATCATGACCTGAGCTGAAGGCAGACGCTCAACCATCTGAGCCACCCAGGCGCCCTGTTTTTTTTTTTTTTTTTTTTTTAAGATTTATATATGCATGAGAGAGGGAGCTCGAGTGTGCGCATGCTCATGTGGGGGGAGGGGCAGAGGGAGAAACTCTCCAGCCGACTCCCCTCTGAGCATGGAGCCCAATGTGGGACTTGATTCCATGATCCTGAGATCATGACCTGAGCCGAAACCAAGGGACACCAAACCGAGTGAACCACCCAGTAGCCCCTAGAGGTGGATGCTTAGTAAAACTGATGAACTTTGAGCTTCATAGTTGCTTACTTTCATGGGCCCCTTCTCAAGTATAGGTGTCTTCCTCAGAAATCTGGGGCTCACTTGTATGCTCGGCATGCTGCCCCAGATAGGGGTTGCCCTCTGTATCCTGGGTCTCTAGGTGAAGTCAGTGGGCTGCCAGAAACCTGACCATTTTTGCTGGTCCCCCCGTACTGACATCCTGTACTATGTGGGGCCTCTGCAAGTATCTGGAACCCAGCCTTGGCACCAAGGAGAAGGTTCTGATTAAGATGCCTCTCCACTCTCCGTGTAGCACTCTCCGGACTCAGGCTGCACCAGGAGCACCTTGTACTCTGCAATCTCCCTTCCCCTGCCCAGGGCCACTAACACGATGCTGGACCTGGCTGAGCTGGACCAGCTCCTGAGGCAACGGTCCAGCGACATCAAAGATCTGAAGCCTCTAAGGGTTTTTCCTAGGATGGCAGGCACCTCCAGAGCAAGAAATTGTTTCAGCTGTGGCATGACCAACAAGTTTCAAAGCTGAAAGAATCTTTTCTAAACCATCAACAATGAAAAACATATTTCTATCTACTATGCCAGAAGACAAAATTGTCTTTCTCTGTACATGAAATGGTATTATAAAACTTTTACCATGTGAAGAAGGATCAAAGAGTATAAAGCCAAAAAAGGTAGGGAAAAGATTTATTATATGGGTGGGGTCAAGCAGTGAAGGTGTAATGGTAACAATCATTATTAACTAATACTAATTATAATAATGCTATTTTCTGGATGCTTCCTAAAATTTGTAATTTGTTATGGTTTCTTTTTTCCATTTGAAATAGATATGTACTTTTGAACCTAATTTCATATTCTCTTTCATAAAAAGGGCTCCATATTTGATAAACTTCAGGACTCATAAGAATCTGGATCTAGCCTGACAGCTCCTTTTCCTGAAGAAGTGAGTAGGAGAAAGGGCATAAAAAAATCACTAATATCAAGAGGAATGTGGGAATTGTCCCACAGCTTTTCTTTACTCCATTAAATCCTTGCCCTCTCATACTTGGTCTTGAATCTATCAAAAAAGCCTGGAAGATTCAAAGGTCAGTAAGGATGGTTTAAAATATCTAAATACAAAAGACCTGCCTGAACTGACCTTAGAGAAAACATGCGGCTCCAACTCTGTCTTCCTACTCTGGAAAAAGGCACATTTGGGTACGTGGGTTTGGGGAAAGTGATTGCTTTAGAAATACGGAGTTCCAGAAAATGAAAAGTGTATCATTTCTTGAGTATGTTCCTTTTAAAATTGGTTATTAATACAGAGGCGCTCACTCTTGAGTGACTTTGTAATGACACATCAACCGCTATTTTCCATCAATTCAGGAGGGAATGGCAAGGCTGAGAGCCAAGGAAGGGAGAAGAAATGACAACCCATTTTGTGGCAAAAAACCAAAGGAGTCTTGATTTATCAGTACATTTGGCACGCTCTTTTTGGGGGGTGGAGGGGTGATTGGGAGTTGGAAATAGAGGGTTGTACATTTTCTAAAGGCAAGCCCTCTAAAGTAGGCCAATTGGTCAGCTGCGAACTTGGCAGGCGTGATGAAGCATGTGTGCTGGGGCAGATTCAGAACACGATGTTCTGGTTCACTCTGAGAGCAAAGGAAAGTGGAAGAAGGGCTCAGCCCAGGACAGACAGGGCGCAGCACAGACATGCAAGAGGCCAAGAGACAAAGCCAACACCAAGGAATAAATGCAACTTGCTTACCCTGCTGGCCACAGAATTCAGAGAGAGAGAAAAAGAAAGACAGAGAAGGCAAGAAAAAACTATTAAAGCCCCCAAGAGAGGTGCTGTGGTTCTGGTGTTTACTTGAACTCAATTCTGGAAAATTCGGAGCTGTTGTGTGATTAATGATAAAGAGTAATCACTGAATGTTTTATGTAACAGTCATGATGAAATTCTGCAAAAGTGCTTGGAAATCATGCTGAGCATATAAACTTTGAGACATAAAGATGTGTGACATGAAGAGGAAAAGGATATTAAAAAAAAAAAGAATGGCTTGAAGCATAGACTCTTACGTCCAAATTTAATAAGGACCTTCTATGGGCTATTTTTGTTTTTTTAAAAGATTTTATTTATTTATTTGACAAAGAGAGAGACAGCAAGAGAGGGAACACAAGCAGGGGGAGTGGGAGAGGGAAAAGCAGGCTTCCCGCTGAGCGGGGAGCCCGATGTGGGGCTCCATGTGGGGCTCCATCCCAGGACCCTGCGTATCATGACCTGAGCAGAAGGCAGGTGCTTAACACCTGAGCCACCCAGGCGCCCCTAAGGGCTTTTTTTGAACCTGTATTTACTTCCATATGGTTTCAATGATTAGTTAGCTGATAATGAATAAAATAGTCATGTATAATATATATAAAAATAACTTAAAATATTTGCCATCTTTGAGTATGCAGGCTTCTCAGATATTTTCCAAATGATTTAAGAAAGTAAACTTAATAAAGTTCAAATAAGATGAAATAATACTAAAAGCTCAAAAAAAACAAGGAACCAATAGTAAATTATATTTTAATTCACAAAACATTTTGCAGATGGGTACTGATTGCCCATAATCTTGAGATTTCTCTTTTTATTCAAACAATTTTGAATTGTGCTAAAGTTTTATTCCATTAGATGGAATCATTTACAACTAGTAAATGCAATGAGTAAGTTCACATATGTTTTTCTTCAAAAATCCAGTACTGTCATAAGCTTGAAAGGACAGAGATTAAGCTAGTGATAACTGCTTAATTCCAAATGTACACTATCATTTAAAAATTTTAAGTTGAAAATAATTTCTTAAAGAATATCTCTATACTTGACTTATTGCACAAAAGAATTCAAGTATATATGAAAAAATGGTTTTTACTCCTCCTCCACGTAGCAAAAAAAAAAAAAAAAAAAAGGGCACCTTATTTATCAGTGTAAAAAAACGGAGACCAGAGTGGCCAGAAGACTCAGCTGGTCTTTGTAAAGGAGTTTATAGCTTTCAGCTGAAAACTGTAAGTGAGAATTCTCATTCTCAGCTGCTGGCTCCCTGTGAGCTACCCGTGGCCTCTGGCCCCATTTCCACGGAGACAGAGGTGGGCAGGGTAAAATTAAGTTAAGGGGGAAACTTTTCTTTTAAGGAACTATTTTCCAAATCCCTACTCCTCCAATACTTATGAGTGTCCAAGTTAAAACTGACCACAGATTAGTTACTGAAATTCACATGCACTTCTTCGACGTTGAATGACTGAAAATAACATATATGATTGTAAAGGTACGTTTGCATGGATAAAGCAATACCTGCCCTATTTGGTACTATGTAAGCCCAAAATTGAAGCTTGGAATGAAGGTAAAATGCCTGCTGCCATTCAACAGCGGGCAGAGAGAATCCTACCATGTTTCCGGGTCTAACTACTATTTAAAAAAATCCTGCCAGCTTTTTATTGGCTGAGAGCTGTGAATGTCATGTGTCAGGACCCTGCAGACCTCTGTTGTATGGGTGGGAGTGTGGGTTGGTGTTAACCCAAATATCAAAAAGTTGGGATCTTCACCAGGGGAATTAAAAAAAAAAGTGTTGGTTTTCCTCACATATATCAATTAATCCATTGCCTTGCTGTAGGCTTTTATTCTTGACCATAGTACTGAGGTTAATAAAAATAAATAGGATGCTCAAACAGCTATTGCTAGAACCGTCAGCTCACTGGCCATTTATTGAGTCATTACTGCATACCTGCTACCGTCTAATGTATTTGCTCAGTTAATGATTGTCTCTTAGGAAAAACTTTTCATTAGGGAAAACTTCAAACATACACAAAAGAGAACAGTCTGTGGGCGCCTGGGTGGCTCAGTCATTAAGCGTCTGCCTTCGGCTCAGGTCATGATCCCAAGGTCCTGGGATCGAACCCCGCATCAGGCTCCCTGCTCAGTGGGAAGCCTGCTTCTCCCTCTCCCACTCCCCCTGCTGTGTTCCCTCTGTTGCTGTGTCTCTCTCTGTCAAATAAATAAATCTTAAAAAAAAAAGAACAGTCTGATGAGTCCATGTGTTTATCACTCAATTATAGTAGTCATCAACTCAAGGCCACTCTGGTTTTCAACATACTGCCACACATTCCTCTACTACTTTGAAGCAAATCTCAGATATTTTTATTTATGAATATTTTACTATGTATTTTTAAAATATAAAGACTCCCTAAAAATAAACAATACCACTATCACACCCAACACTAACAATATCACACCTAAAAAATTAATTTCCTAATAACAAATATTAAGTCACAGAACTTTTTAATTATTACTATCATACTATCATTATTCATATTTTACAATTACAGAAAGTGAGGGCGAGAGGAGTTTAAAGTCCTGCACAGTACCACACAGAAAGTATGTAGGAGAACTTACTTAGAGGTTCAGGTAGGAGACCACCACAGAGCCCATGTTTAAGGTCACAAGGCTTACAGTAAATACAGTAATGATACTAACAGTTTTTGTGTTAGTTACTGTGAACAAAACTTTGTTCTGTCTGCTTATTGAAACTTATTTAACCCTCCCCACCACCGAGCAGAGGAGGTGCCATTCCCTGCATTTTACAGATGAAGGCACAGCACTAGTCCAGGGTGCATCCAGTCAGAACACTCACTCATGGCCTTCTTCATTTCCTGTCTTTTACCTTTTAAAACATTTGATTTCTTTGTTTTTTATTCCAATATAGTGTATATTACGTTCAGGTGTACAACATGCTGATTCTATACAATATTCAATGCTCATCTGGGTAAGTGTACTGTTAATCCCCTTCACCTAATTCACCCAGCCCCCCAACCCACTTCTTCTCTGGTAATTGTCATTTTGTTGTCTAGAGTTAAGAGTCTGTTTCTTGGTTTATCTCTTTTTTTCTTTGTTCATTTGTTTCTCAATTCCATATAGGAGTGAAATTATACGGTATCTGTCTTTCTCTGACTTATTCTGCAGGGCATTATGCTCTCTAGATATATCCATGTTGCTGCAAATGGCAAGGTTTCATTGTTTTTATGGATGAGTACAATTCTAGTGTGTGTGTGTGTATTTCACTACTTATCCAGTCATCAATGAACACTTGGGCTGTTTCCATATATATCATGGCTATTGTGAATAATGCTGCTATAAACAGAGGAGTGCATATATCTTTTCATATTAGTGTTTTAATATTCTTTGGGTAAATACCTAGTAACAGAATTACTGGATTATAGGGTGGAGGAACCTCCATACTGTTTTCCACAGGGGCTCCACCACTTTGCATTCCCACCAACAGAGCATGAGGGTTGCTTTTTTTCCACATCCTTGCCCACATTTGCTGTTTCTTGTGTTTTTTACTTTAGCCATTCTGACAAGTAGGGGTCATATGTCGTTGTGGTTTTGATTTGCATTTCCCTGATGATGAGTGATATTGAGCATCTTTTCATGTGTCCATTGGCCATCTGTCTATCTTCTTTGGAGAAATGTCTGTTCATGTCTGCTGTCCGTTCTTAGATTATGTGCTTTTTTGGTAATGAGTTGTATAAGCTCTTTATATATATTGGATACTAACCCTTTATCAGATAACATTATTTACAAATACCTTCTCTCATTCAGTAGGTAGTCCTTTGGTTTTGTTGACTGTTTCCTTTGCTGTGCAATAGCTTTTTATTTTGATGTAGTCCCAACAGTTTATTTTTGCTTTTGTTTCTCTTGCCTCAGGAGATATATCTAGAAAAGTGTAGCTATGGCCGATGACAGAGAAATTACTGCTTGTGTGCTCTTCCAGGATTTTTATAGTTTCAGGTTTCACATTTAGGTCTTTCATCCATTTTGAATTTATTTTTGTGTATGGTATAAGAAAGTGGTCCAGTTTCCCCAACACCATTTGTTGAAGAGACTGTCTTTCCGATTGCATAATCTTGTCTCCTTTGTCAAAGACTAATTGCCCATACAATCATGGATTTATTTCTGGGCTCTCTATTCTGTTTCATTGATCTATGTGTCTCTTTTTGTGCCAGTACCATACTGTTTTGATTACTATAGCTTTGTAGTATATCTTGAAATCTCAGATTATGATACCTCCAGTTTGTTCTTCTTTTTCAAGATTGCTTTGGCTATTTAGGGTCTTTTTTGGTTCTATACAAATGTTAGGATTGTTTTAGTTCTGTGAAAAATGCTGTTGGTATTTTGAGAGGGATTGCATTGAATCTGTAGATTGCTTCGGGTAGTATGGACCTCTTAACAGTATTTGTTCTTCCAATCCATGAGTATGAAGTCTTTTCATTTTTAAGTGTCATCTTCAGTTTCTTTCATCAGTGTTTTATAGTTTTCATAGTACAGGTCTTTCACTTCCTTGGTTAAGTTTAGTCCTAGGTATTTTACTGTTTTTGGTGCAACTGTAAATGGAACTTTCTTAATTTCTCTTTCTGCTACTTCATTATTAGTGTATGTAAATGCAGATTTCTGTATATTGTATCCTGTGATCTCACTAAATTCATTTATCACAGTTCTAGTTTTGGTAGAGTCTTTAGGGATTTCTATATACAGTATCATGTCATCTGCAAATAAAATTTTATTTCTTCCTTACCAATTTGGATGCCTTTTATTTCTTGTTGGATTGCTATGGTTAGGACTTCTAGTACTATGTTGAATAAAAGTGATGAGAGTGGACATCTGTGTCTTATTTCTGATCTTACGGGAAAGCTTATAGTTTCTCACCATTGAGTATAATATTAGCTGTGGATTTTCCTACATGGTTTTTCTCATATTGAGGTATGTTCCCTCTAAACCTATTTTGTTGAGGGTTTTTTTTTTTTTTTTAAATCATGAATGGATGCTCTACTTTGTCAAATGCTTTTTCTGCATCTATTGAAATGATCACAAGGTTTTTATCCTTTCTCTTGTAGATATATCACTTTGTTTTTTTACCTATCTTTAGATCTATCAATCCATGTATCTATAGATCCATTTATGTGAATACATAATTTATTTTCATAGCTCAAAACTCAAAAGGTTCAAAATGGTACTTAGGGAAAAATCTCTTTATCACCTTTGTCCAACTCCCATGTCCAGAGGCAACTGATATTTTCGGTTTCCTGACTGTCCTTCCATAGGGATCTTCTGCACACACAAGCAAATGCATATCCTTTCTCTATTTTTACATGGAGGGCAGCATACTATATACACTGTTCTCCACTTCCAGGTTTTCAGTTAGCATATTTTGGAGCTTTATTATTTTCTTTTACACAG